TCTATGGCCATTTTGAGGGAAAACTTCGGAGAACAATTCATCTCAAGAAATGGACCGGTAAGTTGGCCACCAAGATCATGCGATTTGACGCCTTTAGACTATTTTTTGTGGGGCTACGTCAAGTCTAAAGTCTACAGAAATAAGCCAGCAACTATTCCAGCTTTGGAAGACAACATTTCCGAAGAAATTCGGGCTATTCCGGCCGAAATGCTCGAAAAAGTTGCCCAAAATTGGACTTTCCGAATGGACCACGTAAGACGCAGCCGCGGTCAACATTTAAATGAAATTATCTTCAAAAAGTAAATGTCATGGACCAATCTAACGTTTCAAATTTTATGCGTTTTTTTTAAAAAAAAAGGTATCAAGCTCTTAAAAAATCACCCGTTATGTCCCATGAACTCAATAAATATCGCAGTAATATCTCTCGATGATGTAGTAGTTTATCTGAAATCCTTAAAGCAGTCCTTCAGTTATGGTCCTGACCAGATCTCTACTTGTATTCTTATAAATTGTGCTGATTATCTCTATGAGCCGTTAACAGCGTTATTTAATTTGTCTCTTAAAGAGGGCGTTTTTCCAACTATATGGAAGGAATCGTTCATAACCCCGTTACATAAAAGCGGTAGCAGACCTTCAGTGGAGAACTACCGGGGTATAGCTAAGCTTTCTGCAATTCCTAAATTATTTGAAGCAGTTATAACAAATCAGTTGACACATTCTATCTCTTCTAGCATTTCATATAGTCAACATGGATTTTGCAAGGGCAAATCAACTTCTACAAATTTACTTGAATTAACATCATATATCTCAAAAGCATTTAGTGAAAGCAAAACTGTTGATGCTATATATACTGACTTCAGTAAAGCATTTGACAAAGTGTGCCACTCGTTGCTCATCTATAAACTTGATCTTCTTGGTCTTCCACCTAATTTTCTACGTTGGATCTCTTCATACCTCTATGATAGATCACAAAGGGTAATGTTTAAAAATACTATCTCTGACGTCATTGATGTTACTTCAGGAGTCACTCAAGGTAGCCACCTAGGCCCGGTTCTGTTCTTGCTTTTTATAAACGATATTTCTACAGATATACAATTTTCCAAAATTTTAATGTATGCAGATGATGTAAAGCTTTATAACTCATACATTTCAATTAAAGAAAGGTCTTTGCTACAATCAGACTTAAACAGCATGGCTTACTGGTGTCAAGTAAATCTTATGCCTCTAAAACTTAAGAAATGCAAAGTAATCTGCTTCTCGCGAAGAGCTGTTCATCCCGCTTCTTATACAATAGGTAACCATAACCTGGAACAGGTATACAATTTTGTGGACCTTGGTATCACAATGGCTCCTAAGCTTAATTTTAATCTTCACATTAATGTGGCAGTCAACAAGGCTAAAGGTGTACTTGCATTTGTGAAACGATGGTCAAAAGAATTTTGTGACCCTTATATCACTAAAACCCTCTTTACAACATTAGTTAGACCGATTCTGGAATATGGTTCGGTGGTTTGGAATCCTAGGTATCAAATTTACTCAGACCAGATAGAATCAATTCAAAAACAACTCCTACTTTTTGCTTTAAGAAATTTCCGTTGGGATTCTCAATATAACCTCCCGCCTTATACGAGCCGATTAAAACTTATTAATCTTCCTACACTTGCCAGTCGCAGGCAAATGCTTGGTACAATTTTTATAGTTAAATTACTGACAGGCTCAATTTCACGTCCGCTTCATCTGGGTGAAGTTAGCCTTAATATTCCCTCCCGGGTATCAAGACACTTTTGGCCCCAATTTCTGAAAGCTTGTAAAACTAATTTTGAATTGCACCACCCACTCCTTTGCTTATGCCAGGGGTTTTACTATCATTCCAACACATAAAAACAGCTGATGAATTTAGTTCTGTAGCTGAACAGTTTTAGATCTCGTCACATAACAAACTCCTGCTTATCGTGACTCGGGGCAAAAATTGAAAATACGGGTTCCGTACGTCATGCGGACTGCCCCCTCGTGCGGATGGGCGGGAATGGAGGGTAAAAACCGTTGGGAAAACCGTTGGGTGTAGCGGGGAGTAGTCCTGACGCTGTCCGGAAGCATCTGCTCAAGGCAGCGTTTATTTTGATTTGTTTTTGTCGGATGTCCATCCGTATATAGTCAGCCCATGTTGAATTATGCCCTCAGTGATAGCTATGCAGATGCAAATTGCTGTGTCTATGTGTGGTCCTTTCTCTCTGGTGCAAAAGATCTTTAGAAGATTGTTGACTTTTTTGAGTTTATCGCAAATGGCGTTAATGTGTTCGTTCCACGACGCATTTCTTGAGAACGTGACTCCCAGGATTGTCAATTTGGTTTTTAAAGCAATATATTTATTACCAATATTTATTCCTGAGAGACAACACTTGAGTTTTCTACAAATATGTAAAGCTTCTGCTTTGGTTAGTGGTATTACCGCTCCTGTATTTTTATCCCATTTCTGTATTTTATTATTGAGGTCACTTAGACTATTGTTTATTTGCTCTGAAGATCCAGAGGAGAGCGCAAAAATGTTGTCTGCGTGTATCCCTATGTAGTCAATACCGTCTGTGTTTTTTATCTGCTTGATTAGTGAGCAGGAGTATGCTGTGAATAACACAACTGATAGGGGAGAGCCTTTGGTAAACCATTATAAAGATTTAGGTATTTTGACATAAGGCCATCAACGCGAACTGATAACCTCCTGTGTGACATGAACGAGTAGACTGTTTTTAGAACTTGGCTTGGTAACCCCTAACTTGCCAGCTCTTCTATAGTCACTGTGGCTGTGACCCTATAGAAAGCCTTTTCTATGTCTTCTGAGAGTACGACACTGTGGTAATTTCTTTTTATATTACTTTTGAGCACTGTTTCCAAAGTATGACAAAGGGTGTGAACCCCTTGCTGTGGTAAGAAGGCGTGTTGCTCTGGAGGGAGAAAAGCATTACAATTTTCGCGTATTTTCCGGGCTATGATTTTATCAAAAACTTTCGCTAATACCGAGATGAGTGAAATGGGACGACACTCTCCACTGTGTTTGGACTTGTAAGGCTTAGGGACTGGTGATAAAATTGCGAACTTCCAATAGTGCGGATAGAGGATTTTGCTATACAGTCGGCATAGTCGGAGCTTAAGCTTAGCTTATTTTGTCTATTCCTGGAGTTGTGGCTTTTGAACTTTTCGTTGCTTCAATAAGGTCTTTTAATGCTATCTCTCTAAAGCGCTGGGTTATGCTTATGTTTTCTTTAGTTTAGTAGTAAGTGCCTCAACTTTTAAATTTGGTTTTTCTTTTATTATTTGTTGGTCGAAGGATTGATCCGAACCAAGGGAGCTCCAAAATCTTGCAAATTCGTCGGCTATCGTCTGCGGGTGTGTTATACATTTGTCGTTCGTGAATATCGGTGGGAAATTTGTGTTCTGTTTGGATTTGGTATTTCTTATTTTTCTCCATAAAGTTCTTGTGTCCATTGACGTGTTAAGCGAATTTACAAACTTTTCCCAAGTATTTTTCTTTGCTTGTTTGCATGACCGGCGAACTTGTGCACACAATCTCTTGTAATTAATTAAGATAACTTGGCTGCGTTTTTGTTTGTACGTATTCCACGCAGGGTTTTTAACCAAGCGGGACTATTGTGATTACTTATCTGTTTTTGACTGACATCGATTCGTTTGCCAACGACCTAATAATTTTCTTTACATTCGCGGCTTCTTGGTTAATATTAACCGATTCAATAAACTTACTATTTATTTCTTCGGTTTTATTTGCAAAAAGTTCCCAGTTTGCTTTACCATCCACAAAACCTGGTTTAAATTTTTCTAAGCCAGTAGTGATATCATTAAAAATGAAAATTGGGAAGTGGTCACTTCCTTCTGGGGAACATTTCCAAGAGAGCACCGATGCTAATTATGAATCAGCCATAGCGACATCCACGTGAGCCAGGGCGTAGGTGAGCCATCGTTAAGACAAACCAAATTCTGCCAAAATCGCTTAGGCGGTTACAGCGCCAATAAAGAAGAAGAATAAGACTATTCTCAATTTCCAAGCCCAAAGAAATGGTTGGGCGGTAAGAGATTTTGGTCGTATGAAGAGGTCATCACTGAGACGAATGCTGATTTCGAGGCCTTGAAAAATCTGTTATTTGGAAAGAATTAAGAAATAGGAAAAAACGCTCGGCGAAACGGGGTATCTTCATTGTCCAAATGAAGTCGACTCTAAAGTTAGTTGCAGCTTTTTGACAGAATTTTCAATAGAATGCCGTATGGCATTGGCAATTTTGTTTTTTTTTTTGTTTTGTTTCTTTATACATTGAACTGACTTTTACACTGTATCGACAAAAATCAATAGTGAGTAGCAGTGGGTAGTAAAATTTTACGAAAAACATGTCTTCTAGTTCTGAATAAGTACGAATTAACACACTTTTAGGCGAATGCAACGGAAATGGTTAATGGATAAATGCAATGAAGGATAGATGAATATGTAGACGAAGAGAGGACAAAAGAAAATATAAAAATAAAAATATATACGTAAAGACAAAAACAAAATAAAGGTGAATTTAAATGCTTAATATAAGGACAAAGGTGAAGGTACATCTTAAACCCTAATGCTGTGGTCATAAGCAATAACCGCCTAAGTCGACTTAAGAAAGAATTGAGTTATATATGTTATCGTATTCTGCAACTTCTATTCCATGTGTATGTGAAATCCCCATCTCGCCAGCTAGGCTATTTAAAAAGTTATAAACGACCATATTTTGGTTTCCCCATAAGGATAACATTGCGATTTTTACACCTAAAATTCATTCTTATACTTGCCAATCACAAACAAATTTGAGAACAAGTGCCTAAGTATTTAATATTCAAATTTAAATGCTTTAAATACTGGCAGTTACTCATAAATTAGATTTTCTTTTTTGATTGAAGGGAAGCCTCTAATAAAAATTTTTTACTGTTTTATCTTATGTTTTGATGATAACAATTCATTTTTTTAGCGAGCTGGAATCCATTTTGAAGTCAATGCGTTGGGGTTATAAAGAATATGATTCATTAACGCTTTCACCGACCCGAGATAACGTTTCAAAAGCTCAGCTACTGGCCGAATATTTGTTTCTAGTAATTTTTATTATAATACGTTAATATATGTATGTTTTGCTACATTCATAAAGTATTTCAGATTAAATCACCGATCGAAGAGACCGAACCACTGGAAATTATCACACCAAGCATTATTTGTCAACCAGTAAGCACTGTTACAAAGCTGCTGCTGGCTCCATATCGACAAAGGTATGTTTTCGGAATAGCTATTTTATTTCTCGAATTGTACTTCTACCAAAAAAATTCTTCTCATAAAAACCATTTGCCATTTGTGTGGCCAAATACTTAACAACAGGGCCGTAGGCAGGGGGTGTAAGGGGTTAGATGTGTCACCGAATCCTGAAGCTTAAGCCCGCATGATGCCACGTTTTTTCCTGTATTTTTCATTTGAGATACCGACAAAAACTGACGAAAGTCAAATTACAAAAACAGTTCAGCAATGTGTTAGAGAGAGCCAAATTTTGTGTGAAAAAACAGTTCGAGTTTTGACATTTCAAATTTGCGTAAAACATTTTTGAAAAAAAAACAATAAATAAAAAATATAATTAAAGCGGCAAGACAACTACGTATTCCTTTTAATTGACTAAGTCCACGATGCAGAATATATGGGAAAATCTCCGTGCTTTTGTGTCACTCGCCTTTAAACTAATTTTATTAATGTAATTTTACTTTTTATAAAACCTTGGGCCATTTTGATAACGAGTTCTTGTAAATTATTTATTTTTTTTTTCATTTTAATGTTATATAAATTTTTATAAACAAAGTTATTTGTTTTTGTCATTTTATCGCCTTATGACAATTATATTAAATCATTTTTATTGTGCTTGAGGCTGTTTTTAATGAAAATCTTATTGTGGAAAAGCAACAATTATTTGAAAAAAATGGTAGAACTTGATCATGTGGTTGTTGGTTTTGGTTTGGTTATAGCACTGGAATAGCTGCGCTTGATTGTAGTTGGTTTAACAAACGAAATAGTGGAAAAAAGCAACAAGAATTCACAAGGCGAGCTTATCACAGTGCGTAGGCAACAGGCTGAGTCAGTGGGATCGTCGGTTCGAATCCAACTGAGAGAAGTCTGATGAGGAAATGTGGTGATTTCCGAAATAGCTATCACTTCTACCATTTTTTCAAATTATTGTTGCTTTTCCACAATAAGGTTTTTATTAAAAACAGCCTCAAGCTCAATAAAAATTGTTGAATTTTATAAACAAAGTTATTAAAATAACCGGTTTTACATGTCACTTTGGGTACCTTTTTTTAGTATAACTTTTTCAGCGCAAAACGGAGACATGCAAAAATCATGGCAAATAGTAATTTTAATATTGGCAAATGTATTAGGTGTTGAGAAAAATAGGGGCTCCTCATTGGAAATAAACTTTACAATTTGTAACCTGTCACTCGTAATTATCAAAACGGTAATATTTTAAGTTATTTTCCATTTTGCACTTTCGGCAATTACTTAATTGTTCATATTTCTTTATATACATTAGACCACGTAAAAAAAATCGCTAAGGGACCGGAATAAGTCTCAAATTTTAGCATTTGTTATAGTAATGATCCATGAATCTCCCCTCTCCAGGACAACTGTAAGTGGTCCTGCGTCGACCCTTTCCGTTTCAGGTTAATATAATTTTCTAGGATAAATTACACTAAAAAACACTCGAAACTGTAAGTATACATTGATTACATGACATTTAATTATTATGCAGGCTCAGATTATTTAAATTCCAAAATTATCCTTTTTTAATCCCTTGCCCTATTTGGGTCAAATCTAGTACATATATATACGGTGATCATCCGTACTCTATTTCAAAAAACAGTACTTCTTTCTAGGGTGCTGTCTTTTGAATTTATTATTCTGAAACCATGTTTTGTCCTTTATTTTAAGGCTTAACCATTAAAAGTCCTCTTTTCGATATATACAAATTTTACCAATTCGCCTAATTACAAAGGTAAAATATGTGCCTTTTTTAACTAAGAAAAAATAAGTACATCGGCACAATATGTACCTCGAAATGTGTTATTTTTTTAACTACGAATTGATTGTATTTTTTATACCTTTCCTATTTGATGTCCTCTGTTTTTAATCTTAATGTCACTGAAAAGGTCTCGCTCAGGACTATAATTGGCCCTCAAAAGGTTTTGGCCTTAAGACCGAATTTGATTTATAATCTCACTGATTTTGCAAATACTATCCCTGTCTACTAGAAAAAATATTTAGGGGATTCCCTTAAACTCGTAAAGTCTTAAACCGTGTAAAACTCGTAAATTTTCGAGGCTTTTATGGGAACGCCCCCTTTGCGAAAAGGTGTAAACAGGTGCGTAAAGTGATAGATTAACCAGGATTTTGTGAAGCAATTTTTGTTTTTTCGTAGTATTTTCCATAACATCCCGCCATCTTGCCTCTGTCAGTCTTGGCTAAAATACAATTAAAAATGCGGAAAATTAGCAGAAAATCTATTTATGTCAATACAGTTAGTGGATGGAATTCATTCATTTAATTCCCGTATTACTTTTTCATTGATTTTCACTA